TGCAAATCAAAATGACTCTGAGATACTGTCTTATACCTGTCAGAATGGCTATGATCAAAAACACTGATGACAGCTTATATTGGAGAGGATATGGAGCAACAGGAACACTCTTCCACTATTGGTGGGAATGCAATCTTGTACAGCCACTTTGGAAATCAGTATGGCGGTTTCTCAGAAAATTGGGTATTAATCTTCCTCAAAACCCAGCTATACCACTCTTGGGCATATACCCAAGGAATGCTCAATTATACCACAAGGACACATGCTCTACTATGTTCATAGAAGCATTATTTGTAAATGCCAGAACCTGAAAACAGCCTAGATACCCCTCAACCAAAGAATAGATAAGAAAATGTGGTACATATACACAATGGAGTACAACTCAGCAGAGAAAAACAATGACATCATGATGTCTGCAGGCAAATGGATGGAACTAGAAAATATCATCCTGAATTAGGTAACCCAGATTCAGAAGGACAAACATGAGCCCTCATCCAGTGACTGATGGAAACAGATGCAGAGATCCACAGCCAGGTGCCAGGCTGCACTCCAGGAGTCCAATCGATGAGAGAGAGGAGGGATTCTATGAACAAGGGACATCAAGTCCATGATGGGAAAAATTACAGAGACAACTAGCCAAACTAGTGGAAACACATGAACTGTGGACCAATAGCTGAGGAGCCCCCATGGTACTGGACTGGGCCCTCTGGATAGGTGAGTCAGTTGTTTAGCTTGAACTGTTTAGGAGGCCCCAGGCAGTGGGACTGGGACCCATCCCTAGTGCATGAGCTGGCGCTTTGGAGCCTAGTGCCTATGGTGAGACACTTTGTGCAGCCTTGGTGCAGGGGGAAGGGGCTTGGGACTTGCCTCAACTGAATGTACCAGGCTCTGCCTACTCCCCATGGGGGACCTTGCCTTGGAGGAGGTGGGAATGGGGAGTAGATTGGGGGGGAAACTGGGGGGTGAGAGGAGGGAGGACAGGGGAATCTGTGGTTGGTATGTAAAATGAATAGAAAATCTCTTAAAAATAATAAAATAATAAGATTAAAAAAGATTAAACAAAAGAACCACCATTTTAATAAAATAAAACTGTTAAAAAAAAGATCATGATGGGGAAACCTATAGAGACAATCAATCCAAACTAGTGGGAACTCATGAAATTTAGACCAACACCTGTGGATCCTCTACGGGACTGGACTAAGCCCTCTGCATAAGCAAGACAGTTTTGAGTGGTGACATTTTATTTGTGATCTAACAAATAAAGCTTGCCTGAGGATCAGAGGAAAAAGCCAGCCACTATATTTAATATAGAGGTCAGGAAGTGGTAGCACATGCCTTTAATCCTAGCTTTTGGGAGGCAGAGATTCATCTGGATCTCTGTGAGTTCAAGGCCACACTGGGAACAGAGCCAGGCGTGGTGGCACATGCTTTTAATCCCAGCACTAGTTAACCATAGAAGTCTGGAGGTAATTTCAGACAGACAGGAAATGATAGATCTGGGCAGAAAGAGGAAGTGATGTAACTGGCCAGAGAGAGGAAGTAAGATGGCAGGGCACAGAAAAGTATATAAGGCATCAGTATACATGAAGTAACTCTCTCTTGGGCTGAGGATTTCCTATCAATAGAACTTGTGGCTGGCTTGTTCTATTCCTCTGATCTTTCAGCTTTCACCCCAGTGTCTGGCTATGGTTTTTTTTAATTAATAAGACCATTTAGCAATTCGTGTTACAGTTTTATAGCTTGATCTGCTTAAGGGGCCCCTGGCAGTAGGATCAGGATCCATCCGTGGTGTATGAGCTGGCTTTTTGGAACCCACTACCTATGGTGGAACACCCCAAACAGCCTTGATGCTGGGGGAGGGGCTTGGACCTGCCCCTACTGAATGTACCAGGCTCTGCTGATTCCCCATGGGAGGTCTTACCTTCTTGTAGGAGGGAATGGGAGTGAGTAGGTGGTGAAGGCTAGAGGGGCAGGAGGAAGGAAGAAGGGGATCTCTGATTGGTATGTAAAATGAATGAAAAATTTTTTTTTTGGTTTTTTGAGACAGGGTTTCTCTGTGTAGCTTTGTGCCTTTCCTGGAACTCACTTTGTAGACCAGGCTGGCCTTGAACTCACAGAGATCCTCCTGCCTCTGCCTCCCAAGTGCTGGGATTAAAGGTGTGTACCACCACTGCCCAGCTGAAATATTTCTTAATAAAAAAATTAAAAAAACAGGCTAATATTTGAGAAATAATTCTCAAATAAGGGATAATAATAGCATAACATAAAATGAGATATAACAATAAAAAACAAAAACTAGCACATCAGAATTGAAAAAAAGACAACAAACAGAAGGAAAACAGCCCAAGAAAATGCACAAAAACCAGAGACCCTCTCATTCACACACTCTGGAATCCCCCACAAAATACTAAACTGGAAGCCATAATATGTATGCAAAATACCTGTAGAATAAAAAGAGAGAAGAAAATAAAAATTAAAAAAATAAGATAGAGGAGAGATGGCTCAGCAGTTAAGAGCACTGGCTGCTCTTTCAGAGGTCCTGAGTTCAATTCCTAGCAACCACATGGTGGCCCACAACCATCTCTAATGAGATCTGACATGCGGTATACAATAATAAATAAATAAATCTTTAGTATTAAAAAAAAATAAGATAGAATTAAAAATAAAAAGGAAAAGCCCTGACATGACATTGTGAGACAAGGAACCTCCCTGAGTTCATTTACTGTTGGCCATCCAGGGCTGGGCAAGCAGCCTACCCTTAATAGTAGTTTGTTTTCCCAGTAAGACCTCTTTGTTTGAGACCAAAGCGCCTCCATTTTAAAAATAAGGCCTCCAGTTTGTAAGAATCTCTATTCTATGTTTAGGTTTTGACTTTCCACAGTTGACCCAAGTTCCAGGAATCTGGAAGTACAAAGTACCAAATAACAAGTCAATCATGTGATCGTGACTGTGTGACCATGGAATGTCCCAATCCTGGTCTCCATAGTGACTGTTTAACCACAGAATGTTCCAACCCATAGGCAGCCAAAGAGAAATGCTGACAAACCACCACCCACCTAGCAGTAAGATAAAGATAAGATTTCTGGAACGTCCCTAGAAGTGAACCAATAAGAATTGTACCCGTACTAGCACCCCTAACTGATGTAACTTGTGGTTTTTGCCTTTAAAAACTGAGCTTGCAGAGGGCAGGCACCTCCTCCAGCCTCCACTGCATTGGGTGTGCTTGACAGGGTCCCTGCCTAGGCTTGTATTGCTCCTCAATAAAGCCTTGCTTTTGCATTCTGGTACACTAATCTTTGGTGGTCTATCTGAGGGTCACAATCTGGGCACAACACTTAGAGGAAACTAATTTTTTCATTTGCAAATGGTTATCAATTGGAGATAGCTTCTCAGTTAGATGAAGGCATTTGTCCACTTCTCCTTTCAGCTCTAGCGCCCTATCCGGTATAGACCAGTGCAGGCCCTGTGCATGCTGCTTCAGTCTCTGTGAGTTCAATTGTGCTTTGATCTTGCTACATTTTTCTTGATGTCTGTGGTGATATTTTGTTTGTGCTTTAACAGATAAAGCTTGCCTGGAGATCAGAGTGCAGAGCTCGCTATTAGATAACCATCAAGGCCAGGCAGTGATGGCACATACCTTTGATCCCAGCACTTGGGAGGAAGAAACAGGAAGTGATATGACTAGGCAGAGAGAGGAAGTAATAAGGTGGGGTGAAGACAGGAGCTTGGCCATTTTCAGTCTGAGGATTCTGTAGAGGTAAAAAGTCTCTCTAGTGACTGACTCCTTTACTTTTCTGATCTTCCAGCATTTACCCCAATATCTGACTCTGGGTTTTTATTATTAAGACCAATTAGAATTTGTGCTACAGGTGTCCCATCCCTTCTGGCTCTTACACTCTTTCTGCCTTCTCTTCCTCAAGGTTCCAAGAGCCCTGAAGGGAGAGTTTTAATGGGAGGTATCCCATTTAGGGCTGAGTGTTCCAAGGTCTTAGTCTCTGCATAATGATGTCTGGCTATGGATCTCTGCATTTGTTTCAGTCTGCTATATGAGGAGGCTTCTCTTATGACGGCAGAGTAAGGCATTAATCTGTGAGTATAGTGAAATGTTATTTTGTTTTACCCTAGTTCCCCGGGCTATCTAGTCTTATGTTCTTGTTCATTCAAGCAGTGTTTGGGATGGGTTCTATCATGTGGAGTGGGCCTTAAGTCAAATCAGTGGAATTTAGCTAGAAATAGCAACAAACTACCAACTACACAAATTCCTACATGCTTGAAAAGAAAGTGCATTCAAAATAACACAGGAAATTTGCTGGGGGACATCTTTCTGTATACTGTGAATATATGTTGCTCTGATTGGTTGCTAAATAAAACTGCATTGACCTATAGCAAGGCAGTTTTGAGGCAGGCAGGAAATCTAGGCAGATATATGGAAAGAAAGTCAGAATGAAAGAGATGCCAGCCTGCTGCTGAAGAAACAGCATGCTAGGAGACCGGTAAGCCACGGAACACATGGCAAGACATAGATGAATAGAAATGGGTTAATTTAAGATATAAGAACAGCTAGCAAGAAGCCTGAACCATTAGGCCATACAGTTTGTAAATAATATAAGCTTCTGTGTGTTTACTTGGGTCTGAGCTGCAGGACCACGGACCATGGGTGAGAGAGATTTGTTTGAACCACAGGGGGCAGGGGGCAGGTAGGACACAGGAAAACTTCTGACTAAAGAAATTGGGCATTGTGGCTCATGGCTGTTATCCCAGCCTGCAGGAGGCTGAAGCAGGAGGATTGCTGTGAGTTCAAAGCCACCTGGGCTACTGACTAACACTGTCTTTTTTTTAATCCACACAGTTAAAAGAGTTTAAAAATATTTGAACTAAAAAACAATTAGGACACCAAATAACAAAATTTGTGGAGTGCAGTTCAAATAGTGATCCAGTTTTCTATGACCTTGTAGACAAATTTCTAAACAGTCTTATTAAATAATAAATACAGAGCCAAATACAGAGGTTAAAGCCTTAGAGATCAGAGCAATAGCTGCCAACTAACCTTAGCTCACCACATCACCATAGCTTCCCAAGAGATCCTCTTCCTGTCTAACCTTTGCCTTTATTGCCTTCCTGTTCTGCCTTCTCATTGGCTCTAAGCCCAGCCACATCACTTCTTCATCACTGCCTGTCTATACAGACCTCCAGGTCTCTATGGTTAGCATTGGGATTAAAAGTGTGTGTCACCATGCTTGGCTGTGTCTTTGAACACACAGAGACTCTGCTTGCCATGTGATCAGAATAAGGGCATGTGCTACCACCGCCAGACTTCTGATTATGGCTGACTATGACTTTTGATCTCCAGGCAAACTTTATTTATTAACATACAAATAAAATAACCCATTTCAGGACAAATAAAATATCACCATATTACCCCCTTTTTCTAATAAAAAATAAAAAGTAATAACTAATATAATAAAAACTATATACAATAAGTACAATAACTATATACAGTATATACAAGCAATAAATACCTTAACAATGTCTAGTCCATTTGCATTTGACAAACAGAGATAATATTCCATTATCTATCCTATTTTGGTAAATCCAAAATGTACCTGAATCACTTTCTATCCTAACATATTACTAACAGAGAACTATCTTATAATGTCTTTCAAATTTATACACTTTACACCTCTTTAGTTTCTTTTCTGAAATTCTTAACAAGGAAAACTATAACTGTAACTATCTAATCTTCAACTAACTATAACTATCTAATCTTCAACTCCCTAAGAGACCTAAGAAGGAAATAATATTACCTAGTAAAACAGGAAGTGCAAACAAGCAGCTTCCAAAAAATGTGAGTTGACAGAAACAGCCAGCTGCCTGGACAGTCACTCGAGGTTTCTCCGCAATGTTGGGGCATCATCTTCAGCCTATAGGCTTAGTATATCTGACAGACTCATTTGTGAAGTAGGATGTACACAAGGCCTACAATTCAACCTCACAATTGGTGAGAGTAGTCCATGTACCAGATAAACTTGCATTCCACCAGTGTCCTGATTCAGGATTTTAAATTCTGGAAATTGTTGGTGTTTTTGGAATTCAGATGTCCATTCTTCTCAGCTTGTGGCTGGCTTCAACTCTTTTATTAAATGCCAGTCTACTATGGAGAGGTTAGATTCCAGAAGCCATTGGTCCACTGCCTGTTCAGTTGCCTTTGAAGAAAGGGGCATTGTACCTTTTTCAGATTGCAAAGGCCACTTCAACAATGGTGACATATTGTCCTGGCCTCAGAGGATGCCTGTTGCTAAAGCCACAACCACACTTGTCTTGGCAAGGATTGGCAGTCCTTTGTTTTGTGTCCTGTCTGTCCATTTTGTCCTGTTTGTCAGCAGTCAAGGCAAGGGCATTTTGTTGCCCAATGGCTAACTTTTGCCATAATAAAAGTTAATTTCCTATGCAGTTTCTTCAATGTCCATATCTTCTCTGAAGTAGATTGGTGCTGCCAGGAGCTGACATGTCCCATAGTCATAAAAAATCTAAGTTATTAAAATATTTTAAATGCCACATTCTGTAGATCTCTGAAGGGTTTGAAGATGACCTGTCTGTCTAAAATATATCTCTGCTTAGCCTTGAAAACATACCTAATATGACTAAAATTTTGATTGTAATGTCTAACTACTAACTTTCATTTCTTTATATCCTAATAGTTGGTAATAATAACATTCAAGGATTAGCAAATTGCATTACATTGTTAAATGAACTGAATAAGTACAATATTCTGAACAAGATTAGAAAAAATGCATACAGCATTTTCTAACAATATCAATCTCAATGCACATAATTTGTATACAATATACAAAATCTAATCCAATGTAAAGTATTCAACACTAGTAATTGTCTTTTAAAAGTAGATTCAATAATCTACTGTAGATGTATCCAACCTTCTTATTAAATAAGAAACACAGAACCAATGCAAAGAAGAAAGCCAAGAGGTCAGAGCTAAGAGCCAAAACCTTACCCTTCCTCCTGCGGTGGTCCTACCTCTCCGAACCAGAGCTACCCCTGTGTTAAAGTCTTTATATAGAGTTCCTGTCCTGCCTTCTCATTGGTTGTAAACCCAACCACATGACCGCCTCCTCACGGCCAGTCTGTATAGGCCTCCAGGTTTTCCATGATTGGTATTAAGATTAAAAGCATGTGTATCCAATAATGGCTGTATCCCTGAACACACAGAGACTTACCCAGCTCTGCCTACCAAGTGCTAGAATTACAAGCGTACGCTACCACTGCCCTGCTTTCCTATGGCTTGCTAATAGCTCTGACCCCCGGGCAACTTTATTTATTAACATACAAATAACATTTTAATACAAATAAAATATCACCATAATCTACCTTTTTATCTCTATCATATCTATATCCTCTCTTTTCTTTTCAGAGTAGATTCAATAATCTACCCTATATTCTATCATTTCTTTATATCTTCTTTTTTTTTCAAACAAGAACCTTAAATCTAATCTCCTTTGTTTAGCCCTTTTCCTAACCATTAACAACAACTTGTAACCAACCCTCCAGAACAATGAAAATTATCCCAAATGAAAAACCCATTGAACGACCAAAAACCACCCATCCCACACCACCTCTTTGGGAATGTGGGCATTGGGTTCTTAAAATTGCTTATTGCTAGTTGTAGGTGAAGGCATCTTTAGGGGATTCTGAAAGAAAAATCTTGGGTTAATTGTCAAGTTCTAGGAAAGGTTGCTCTATCATTTGTTGTCCAGTCTCTGCATAATGCCAAAGTTCAGGTCTTATCTCAAGTCTTCGTTCAAGTAGTCTGTGAAACTGGATCATATCAGCTAGCCAACTTGTAATTGTTCTGAGCAGTTTGTAGTCCAAAGCTGATCTGTAGGTGATGTTTGTCAGCTTAGTGGTATAATTATTGTCCATGTGGAATCATCCTTGTAGGGTCCCATCATCTTTCTGGAGACTTCAAATTCAATGATAGGCCTGGTCATGATTCCCTGCAGAAAACTGATAGAGACTCAAACACAAAGACATGTATAGGCAGCTAACTGAAGCCTTTTGTTCTAGAATTAGTCAGTACTCTATATGACCATTAATATCATAACAAAAGTTTAAAATATATACATATATTAATCTTATAAATTTTGATCTAAAATTCATACCTTATAAAAGTGTAAAGAATCAAAATAGAACCAAAGAATTGAGATTAGTAGCAATACAATAGTCCCTTAATTTTTTTCGTTTTCTTCTGTCTTACATCAGAAGATGGCTCTTTTCTTCTGGCATGATACAGAGATTTTGCATTTTTCTTTTAACAACATACTTGGGTTTAAAGAAGGAGAGAGCCATTCTCCAACTCCAAAGCCAGCTTTACTTTTTAATTGAACTGGGACTACAAAAAGAACATTTGTGTTAATTGTCTTTAGAGAAGAGTAGAAAAAAAACATTTAGGAAGACAAAAAATTTTATGTGATATACCAATTTTTCTTGGGACTTTTTTTTTCTAGATGATTTGTCCTTTTTCTTCAGATGTCTCATTTGTCCAGTGTTCTTCAAATTCCTTAGCCTTCATTCTCCTAAAAGACAAAAACAAAAACCTTTCCCCAAGACTAATTTTGGGGAGGTTCCCTTTTGGCAAGTTATATCTGATTAAATGAAAAGACATGTGTTAATGGTATAAGTTAGGTTAAATTGGATGGTCATGCTAGTTGAAGAACTATAACCTCTTCTAATTAAGAGGACTCTCTTTATCAATTTTGATGGTACCCACAGCTTATCTTCTCCTGTAGAAACAAAAGCAAAACCTTGTTCCCAAAGTAACACATATCCTGGTTTCCATTCTGAGGTCAGCACATCCTTAAATTATATAGGCTGATTTAATCCTGTAGTTTTTTTTCTATTATCCAATGTCTCTCTGCAGCTGTTGTTCCTTTCTCATTAGCACTGAGAAAATTCAAAGTTAATAAAGCATTATGCAGTCTATTTCTGGGGGTTTTGTTATGCCTTTCTGTTTATTTAGCATATCCTTTAGAGTTCTGTTTGATCTTTCTATAACTGCTTGGCCTGTAGGATTATGTGGTATACTTGTAATATGCTTTATATTGTAATGAGCAAAAAACTATTTCATTTTACCAGAGACATATGCTGGAGCACTGTCAGTTTTAATTTGTGCAGGCATACCTGTAATGTCCATAACTTCTAGCAAATGAGTGATTACAGAATCAGCTTTTTCAGAGCTCAAAACAGTTGCCTATTGAAATCCTGAGTAAGTATCAATGGTGTGGTGTACATATTTCAATTTTCTAAATTCTGCAAAGTGAAACACATCCATCTGCCAGATTTCATTCCTCTGAGTACCCTTTGCATTACATCCTGCTGGTAATGGAGTCTGATTATAAAACGAACAAGTAGGACATTTCCTTACAATTTCCTTGGCTTGTTGCTAGGTTATGAAAAAATCCTTTTTTAAACCTTTACTATTGACACAATGTTTTTAATGAAATTCTGATGCCTCCAGTACATTTCCTATCAATAATTTATCAGTCTCATCATAACCTTGTGCTAGAGGGCCTGACAGACCCGTATGGGATTGGATGTGAGTTATATATAAGGGATGCTTCCTGTTCCAGATTGTATCTTGTAACTGAATAAATAGTGAAGTTAATTCTGACTCATCAGGGATAAGTTATTCAGTCTTGATATGTAATATCACTCTTTCAGCATACTGAGAATCAGTAACTATGTTGAGAGGTTCTGAAAAATCCATTAATACCAACAGAATAGCATACAATTCCAATTTTTGAACCAAATTATATGGATTTTGAACCACTTTACTTAAATTTTCTGATTTGTAACCTGCCTTTCCTTGTTTGTTGGCATCTGTATAAAATGTACAAGCTCCAGATATGGGTGTTTCCCGTACAATTTGAGGCAAAATCCAACCAGCTCTCTTTATAAGTTCAATTCTATTGCTTTTGGGATATTTGCTGTTAATTTCTTCCAAAAGATTACTGCAAGCTCTTTACCAATGTTAGCTTTCTGCCCATAACTTGTCAATATCCTCCTTAGTTAAAGATACAACAATTTCTTCTGGGTCTATTCCTGCTAACTGATGAAGTCTTAATTTTCCTTTTAAAATCAAGCCAGAGATCTTTTCCACATAAGTTTTTAATTTTTTATTTTATTTATTTGGTAGAAATATCCATTCCAATATAATATCTTCCTCTGAATTAAAATTCCTGTAGGAGAATGCCTAGAGGGTAAAATAACCAAAATGCAATTAAGCTTTAGATCCCCATGATCCACATATCCTTCCTGTACTTTCTTTTCCCCCAAGGCCAATTCTCTCTCAGCTTCACCTGATAATTCTCTTGGACTATTTAAGTCCTTGTCACCTTCTAAGGTTTTGAACAATTTACTCAGTTCATCATTTTTTACCCCAACAATAGTTTGTAGATTGGAAATGTCTCCAAATAATCTTTGAACATCATTAAAAGTCTGTAATTGATCTCTCCTAATTTATACCTTTTGAGGTCTAGTTTTTTGTAGACCTACTTTGTATCCTAAATAACTAATAGACTCTCCTCTTTGTATCTTTTCAGGAGCAATTTGTAATCCTCAACAAGCCAAAATTGTCTTTACTTCTTCAAATATTCTTTCTAAAGTATCTGCATTTGAATCAGCTTATAAAATATTGTCAATATAATGATAAATTACAGATTTAGGAATTTTTTATTGTATTACTTCCAATGGCTGTTGTACAAAATATTGGCACAGAGTTGGGCTATTCAACATTCCCTGTGGGAGAACCCTTATTGATATCTCTTAACTGGTTGAGAATTATTATAAGTAGGCACTGTGAAAGCAAATCTTTCTCTGTCTTTTTCTTGTAAGGGTATTGAAAAGAAACAGTCTTTTAAATCAATAACTATGAGAGGCCATCCTTTTGGTAACATAGTAGGCAAAGGAATTCCAGATTGTAGAGAGCCCATTGGCTGAATTACTTTGTTAATTGCTCTAAGGTCTGTTACCATTGTCCATTTACCAGATTTCTTTTGAATAACAAATACAGGAGAATTCCAAGGGCTGCTTGATTCTTCAATATGCTGAGTATTTAACTGTTCTTCTACCAGCTCTTCTAAAGCCTCAAGTTTCTCTGTTGTTAAAGGCCATTGCTGAACCCATACAGGCTTGTCTGTTAACCATTTTAAAGGTAGAGCTGTTGGTGTCTTTGGGAGATCATCAGTTGTTGTGCCCTGTTCTTTTATAATATGGATGGCTGGTGACCACTCAGAATAATGCCTTCTAATATTTCTCTCAGAAACATGTGCTATGTTTTGTTTCTGAGATTGGAGGGATATTAATCTGAGTATTCCTTTGTTGCATCAAGTCTCGACCCCACAGGTTCATAGCTATGTTAGCCACATATGGCTTTAATTTTCCTTTCTGTCCTTCTGGCCCTATATATTTGACCCATCTTGCACTCTGTTTCACTTGAGATAATATTTCAATCCCTAAAATCTGAACATTTATCTCCTGGAGAGGCCAATTTGGATGCCAAGATTCTGGTGCAATTATTGTAACATCTGCACCTATATCTACCAAACCTTCTGAGAGAACACCATTTATTCCTGTTAAGTTTTGTCTTTGTTCTAGTATAGAAGTTTTTGACTTTGTTCATGTATAGAAAATTTGCCTTATGGTTTCTCCTGAATTTCCTGTTCTCTCTGCTACAGCTGTTCTATCACCCCAAGCAGCCTGGTTTATTCCAAAAGGCATTTGGTTATTTAATTGATCTGACAAGTGTTTTTTTTTTCTATGATGGCAGGAAAGGTCTGAACTGAATTTGCTGTGGGGACTTGCATGAGGTCCCTTTGGGAGTTTCCTGAGGTCAGAGGCAAAGGATTACCTTGTCTATCCCTTCTTGATCTACATTTGTTGGTCCAATATTTACCCTTACAACACTTTCTGCATACTCCAGAAGGGAGGGGCATTCTATTGTCATTGTTCCTTGAATAAACATTCTTTCTAGGAACACCCTGTTTACATTCCCTTTTCAAATGACCTTGTTTACCACAACCAAAACATCTGCCATCTTTCCTCAAAGCTTTTGATATAACCTCTCCTATCCACTTATCATCATGGTCATGAGACTCAATATTAATCGTGTCCTTGATCCAATCCTCCAAGGGTACTAATCATGCCTTTAATGGCCAGATTATTCTTTTGCATGCTGCATTCACATTCTCAAAAGGTAAAGATTCAATTATTATCTGTCTAGCTTCTGCATTTGGAATCATTCTATTTGCTGCTGAGACAGCCTTTGTAATAAGGATTCTCTTGGGCCCTGTATAAACAAAGCAAGCAATGGGCTGCATTTTATGGCATGCAAATAGGACAGTTTATAATCACATAGACCTAGGTGAGGAAAGCGACAACTAGAAACACAGAAGACTACTTGCAGTAGAAACAGACTCAAACACTCAGACTCAAACTGACCTGCTGCCCTTCGATGGTAGTTCTCTCTTCCTTAAACCACTGTGACCTGAAGGGAAACAGAGACATTTTGTTGATTAATAAGTCTTTGGTGGGTTTAGCTCTCCCTCTCTCCTCCAGATTTCACAGATCTGGTTCTCACTCTATACCCCACTTACAAACATCCAGCCAATTTAGGCCTACCTATAACCCATTGCATAGGCAATCAATCTTCAGAATCAGTAGACCACTCAGGAGAAGGAAGAGGAGGAAGATTGTTCCTGCCTTGACACCTACCATACATACAGTGGCTGTACTGGATTCTAAAACTCTGTGCTCCATTTGCTGACAGGGAACAAACTATTGCTTCAGGAACTGACTACTGTTTCGGAGCAGATATCAACTGCTCCTAAAATCTGCTCTTTGTGGACATATTCCAGGAATAATTGTTCTTGGTTGGCATCCTGAGGCCTGCTGGGAATCTAGAGCTGTAATACTTGCTAGCAACCTTTCAGCTGGTGTTCCTCTATCATGAAGAATTTGAGCCATATATCTTGTTTTGGTTGTCACTCTTGTGTGGTGGCCAGCCTGTTTGAATTACTCCTCCAATGCAATTAAAATCCTACTCATTTTTTTTCACACATTGCTGCCTGCCCATTTCATTCTTGAAGAGGGGAAGACCAAAAGGAAACAGGAGAATCAGCTGACTCTCACAGACCCAGAGCATAAAGCAGGGAAATTCAATGTAAGAGCTGATCACAGAGCCCACTTTCTAAATTTTCTTTCATTCCTTTCTGCAGTTATGTTCTTGTAGTTGCAAAGAACTTTTTGACATAAAACACAGCATCTGGAAATGTCTTTTGTCTTCCTCTCAGTTTACATTCAGCCCAGCAGGGAGATTCCCTACTTAGAGTTCCAGATCCTTTCACAGCCCCAATAGGGACAAAGATGAGACTGTTGAGTACATATTTTCTGTTCTGTTTTTCTCACATTAGTCTTCTCAAACTGTCAGTTGTCTTTGTTGTTCTGCTTATTGCTATATCTCTAGTATATAGAATGGGGCTTGGCATATAGTCAGTGCATGTTTAACTCCATATGTATTAACAAACTGAATGGACAAACAAGCCTTCTTATAATCTAATCAGCAACATTTTGGTTAATGTAGTATCCTGAAGAATAAATGAGAATTGTATTTCATAAGAATCAGATAAGCCTTAATAAGTGTGTCTTTTCAACTAAAAAGAAAGAAAGGAAGGAAGGAAGGAAGGAAGGAAGGAAAGAAAGAAAAGAAAAGAAATCATGGACTTCACTAATGATGGTGGACAGAATCCAGGGGAATGGCATAACCAGTTTGAGGACAACAAAATGAGTTGACACTACTAGGCATACCAAGCTATTGAGATCATTTTGTATCTTGGATGCCAGTTGTACTGGCTGGCTTTGTGTGTCAACTTGACACAAGATAGAGTTATCAGAGAGAAAGGAGCCTCTGTTGAGGAAATGCCTTTAGGAGATCCAGTTGTGAGGAATTTTCTCATGTAGTGATCAGTGGGGGAGGGCTCAGCCCATGTGGGTGGTGCCATCCCTGGGCTTCCGGTCCTAGGTTCTATAAGAAGGTGGTCGGGGCAAGTCATGGGAAGCAAGTCAGTAGTAAACAGCTCCCCTATGTGGCCTCTGCATCAATCAGCTCCTCCCTCTAGGATCCTGTCCCACTTGAGTTCCCGTCCTGACTTCCTTTAGTGATGAACAGCAATGTGAAAATGTAAGTCAAATAAACCCTTTCACTCCCAACTTTTGGTCATGGTGTTTCATTACAGTGGTAGAAACCACAACTAAAACACCAAGCTTATTTATTATCTGCATTCAGTTCTACAAAGTTTACTTATATGAATTTTTCATGGTGAGGGCCAAGTCTTAGGAACTTTAATTTGGCAATAGCATGAAGAATGAATTTGTGATGTAAAGATAGGGAAATGGGAGAAAAAAAAGGGTATAATGGAAATGAAAAATATCAGGCAAGAACTAGTCAAAGTCAAGCTGCAGGAATAACTGTTATAGTTCACTTGGGATAGAGTAGAAGAGAATTACATCCTAGTGAAGTTGAACTTTGAATGACTCAATGCCTCAGAAAATTTTTGTTTTTGTTTTTCGTTGTTGTTTTGTTTTGAGAAAGCATCTTACTTTACATCTTGCTGAAGCCCCAAAGAGGCAAAATGAAATAAGGTCTTGTTCAAGGGGATTTCACTATGAAATGAACAACGAACATGGAAGGGGAGGAAAGTGAATAATAATCATTCTGAATCTCAATGTAGCATTTTACTGTTGGATGAAGATGTGAAGCATTCCTTCCATATAATTATTGACCATTTGAAAAGTGTCATTTCATTTCATGCCCATTTTTGACCAGATTGTTTACTCTTTGAATAGTTAATTTTCTCATTTAAAAATATTATGGAAATTAATCCCTATTAGGTGAATCGATAGAAAGTACTTTTCTCCCATTCTGTAGACTATCTCTTCACTTTGGTAATAACTTGTTTTGTGCTGAAGAAGCTTTTTTAAATTCTGTACAAGGTGGGAGATAGGGATCAGGTTTCATTTCTTTTCAGTGGATATCTAATTTTCCTAGCTCCATTCTTCATTAATGAGTCTGCCTTTTCTCTAAAGTATGTTACTGAGTTATTTTATTGATAATCAGATGGCTATAGATGTATGGGTTAATTTCTAGGTCTATTATTACATTCCATCATTCTATGTCTTTGTTTTTGCAAGTGCCATACTATTTTTTGTTACCAAGGCTCTGAAGTGTAGTTGGAATTCAGGTGTTATGGTACCTTCATTACTCTTTTTCCTTAGGATAGTTTTAGCTATTTGGGGTCTTTTGTGAGACCATGTAAATATGGAGTATTTCCTTACTTCTGTGAAGAATATCACTAAAATTTTGATGAGAATTCCATTTGTTGTGCAGCAGTTTCCTCTGAGATTGAAACATTCCATCTCATAGGGAAGCTTCTTAAAGCAGCTGGTAAACAACTCAAAATAACTCCAGGAAGTCCTTGAAACTTAACCAGATTCACTAGACCCTTCCCTCCCAGAGTAAGTACTAAAGATAGCTGAGGGTCACTCTCAGTCAAGCCAAGCTGCAAGGAAGACTCTGAAACCAGCTGAGCTGCTAGGAAGAGGTTTAGACCAACTGAGTCACTTGGAAAGGATACTCTCCATCCTGTTGAGCTACCTGTAGGGTGTGTCATATGCTTCAAGTTCCCAGCTTTTGTGATCTGTCACCCATGCTGGGGTGGGCTTTGGTGATACAGCTGTCTTTGAGTCATTTCTGTTCTCTAAGTAGCCCTTTACCCATATTCCTTTATGTAACCCCAATAAAACTCATTGGTTCACCAAGTTGGACTTCAGTGGTATCTGTACTTTGGTCTGTTGTAGGATCCCTATCTAGGGTAGTAGATTTGTGTGTTGCACTTCCCCAGGAAAAGTCTTGTCACACAAAAACATTAAATCTGCAAATTGCTTTTTGTAATATGGCCATTTAAAATTTGTATGTACATATGTATGTATGTATGTGTGCATGCATGTGTTATTTGTCTGCTTGTTTGTATGTGTATTGTGTGTGTGGGCAGTGCCTATGGAGAACAGATGAGGGTGTCCCTTGAAACTGAGAAAACTGAGTTACAGGCAGTTTTGAGGTTTAGCATGTAGATTCTTGGAACCAAACCCAGGTCCTCTGCAAAAACAGCAAGTGCTTTTAACCACTGACATATCTCTTATATCTCCCTAGCCTCCATTATGCCTATGTTAACAATATTCATTTTGCAAATCCTTGAACACATGCAATCTTTCTATCTTCTACAATTTCTTTCTTTAGTACTTAACAGTTGTTATTTTAAATGTCTTTAGTATCTTTGGTTAAGTTTATGTCTAAGTGTTTTTCTTTTTAATATTTTGAGACTATTGTGAATGAGATTTCTTTTCTGATCTCTTTTTCAATGAGTTCATTACTAGAATATAGAAAAGCTACTAGTTTTTATATGCTCATTGTATCAGTTGTTTATCATATCAAAGTATTCTTATAGCTGTAAATTACATTCACTGATTTTTGTATATTGAACCATCAATACATCTTTGGGAAGTTGGAACTAGAAAAAACTCACCCTGAGTGAGGTAACCAAGACCCAGAAAGACAAACATATAAGTGGAATACAGGTTTAAAGTATGTCCTTATGATTCTTTAGATTTCTTTAGTGTCTGTTTTTATGTTCCCTTTTTTTTCTGATTTTGTTAATTTGGGTATTTTCTCTCCACCTTTTAGTTAGTTTGGATAAGGGTTTGTTAATCTTACTGATTTTCTGAAAGAACTAACTCTTTGTTTTATTGATCTTTCTATTATTTCTTGTTTGTTTGTTTCTATTTTATTAATTTCAGTCCTGAGTTTATTTCTTGCCATCTGCTTCTTTTATGTGTGATTATTTTGTTTTAGAAGTTTCAGGTATGCCATTATATTGCTAGTACAAGATATCTCCAGTTTTTTTTTATGAAGGCACTTAGTGCTTTGAACTTTCCTCTTAGTACTGCTTTCATTGTGTGTAGCTGGAGTTTTTCTGTGTCCACCCAGCTCCTGCAGCCACTCAGACCCAAGTAAACACACAGAGACTTACATTATTTATAAACTGTATGGCTGTGGCAGGCTTCTTGCTATCTAGTTCTTATATCTTAAATTAACCCATTTCTATTAATCTATACTTTGCCAGGTGGCTTGTGGCTTACTGGTACTTTACTTTTGCTTCTCATGGCAGTGGCTGGCAGTGTCTCCTGACTCAGCCTTCCACTTCCTAGAATTCTCCTCTCTGCCTGTGCCGCCTATAGTATACTTCCGGCCTGGCTACTGGCCAGTCAGTGTTCTATTTATCAGTCAATCAGAGTAACACAATCACAGCATACAAAAAGACATCCCCAGCAATTGTGTTCCATAAGTTTGAGTATGTTGTGCATTTATTTTCATTGAATTCTAGAAAGTTTTTTTTTGTTTGTTTGTTTTGTTTTTTTGTTTTTTTGAGATAGGGTTTCTCCATGTAGTTTTGCTGCCTGTCCTAGAGCTTGCTTTATAGACCAAGCTGGCCTTGAACTCACAGAGATCTGCCCAGCTCTACCTCCTGAGTGCTGGTATTAAAGGTGTGTGCCACTATTGCCTGGCCAAATCCTAGAAAGTTTTTAATTTCTTTATTTCTGTCTTTACCCAGTTTTCATTCAGTAGAGAGTTGTTCAGTTTCCATAAGTTTGCAAGTTTTCTGTTGTTTCTGTTGTTTTTGAAATCCAGCTTTAAACTGTGGTGGTCTGATATGATGCAGGGGGTTATTCCAATTTTCTTGTATCTGTTGAGACTTGCTTTGTGTCCCAGTATGTGGTCAATTTTGAAGAAGGTTCCATGAGGTACAGAGAAGAAGATATATTCTTTTGTGTTTCGGTGAAATGTTCTGTAAATATCTGTTAGGTCCACTTGGTTTATAATGTCTGTTAGATATAATTGCCTATGTTTTGTTTGTGGTAGTACCTCAACTTTGTCTTAAATCTGTGATATTATTTCTTCTGACTCATCTATTTTACTGGTGATTATCACTTAAACTTTAAATTTGATTTATTGAGTTTTTAATTTCCAAGATTTCAAATTTTCAGTCTCTAGCTCTTTGATGAATTTCTTATTGAAGTCTTGTTTTTGCTTCACTTTATTCATTTGTTTATCCACTTTAATATAATTTTTTAAAATTTGGCTTTTGAAATTTTTATCTGGCATTTCAAGTCTCCAGGGGCCTCTTGTCTCTACTTCCCAGTGCTGGAGTTACAGGTACCTACTTCCATGCCCAGCTTTTATTTGTATTCTGGATATCCAAACTCAGGTCCTCAGATGTGTGAAGCAAACACTTTACCCACAGTGCCATCTCCCCAGCCCCTATTTTCATATGATTTGATTTTGCTATTGAAGCATTAAACACTTTTTAAGGAATCATATTGCCTTATTTTGTCATGTTTCTGAGTCTCTCTACTCTTATTTGTGCATCTGTTAGGTAGATATGTCTTTGAAGATAAGAGAAATAAAAGATAAAGGATAAAGGAATGAAAGACAATAGTATAGGAACTAAAAAGAAAACAGAGTGCAAAGAAGACCAATCAATATTTTGTCCTTGCTGAGACAATGGAGGATGGAATACTTCACCTTTCCCAGGCTTCTCATTTTACAGTTTACTTGGGAGTGCTGACAGCATATCTCTCACCTTAAAATGCAATTTTACAGATTGACAGAATCTATATCCCTGGTGTTCACTGAGGCTTTCCTTTCTACCTTTACTGCCAATTCTACTGAGGGGGATTTCCTTCTTTCCCTACTGTATTGCATAGTACCCAGTGTTAGGCTCCTTTATTTCTTTTAGAAATCTAAATTTCAGTAATTGTGCATTTTACCTGTTATACACCTGTGACTTTCTGTGCCATCTACCTCTCTCTGTAGCCATGTTTCAGATTCAAGGAGATTCAGTAATGATCTGGTGTTTCTAATCCTCTATATGCTTTCTCTGTATTATAGAACTTGTAATACAATGATCAAATTTAAGTTTAGGTTGTGAGACTAGTCGGCAGGGAGGAGGGAGGACAAGGGAATCCGTGGTTGATATATAAAATTAAATTAAATTATAAAATAAAAAATCAATAAATTAAAGATTTTGGATGAGGACAAGAGAGGAACCAATTTGTATGTGCCTCTTGAGTGGATGAGATAATGGTTTGAAACTCATTTTATACATAGATTCTTGTGTTCATTAAGTTGTGGTTGCTGTGGTATAATACCTGAGAAAACATACTAAGGGACAGAGGATATTTTGGTTCACAGTTTCAGTACATGGTTGATTGACTCCCTTGCTTTGGCTAAAAGTGAGGATAAAGAATACAATGGGAGCATGTGGATGAAGAAGCTACTCACCTCATCATAGATAGGAAGCAGAGATGAGGGAGGAAGCATCCAAGAACAAGGCAAACCCTTTAAAGGCATACCACCAGTGACTTACTTCAACCAATCAGGCTCTACTTCCTAATATTTGTATCAATTCATAATACTATCATATTATGTGTTGTGGAATATTATTTTAAGGTGTGTTATATTTGTTTATGCTGTGGAACATTTGTTTAATGATGCGAAGATGTGTTGCATTCTTTTATGTTGCATTTGTTTAACTCTGTGAAGCTGTGTTACTGTGCCTGTCTAAAACACCTGATGGTCTAATAAAGAGCTAAATGGCCAATAGCAAGGCAGGAAAAAGGATGGGTGGGGCTGTCAGGCAGAGAGAACAAATAGAAGGAGAGAAAGAGAAAAGATCAAGGAATGTAAAAAGGAGGAGAGGAGGTCTCCAGTGGCCAACCACCCAGCCACACAGCCAGACACAGAATAAGAAGGAAAGAAAAGATATACAGAAATGAGAAAGGTAAAAACTCAGATGCAAAAGGTAGATGGGATAAAAGCTGGAAAGAAGCAAGCCAAGCTAAGGCAGGACATTTATAATTAAGAATAAGCCTCCCGTGTGTGATTTATTTGGGAGCTGGGTGGTGGGCCACCCAAAAGAGCAAAAAGCCAAAAGAGTAAAGAGTAAAAAAACAACCAACAACAGTTATAAATCCATCAGTGAGTTAATTCATTGATGAAGTTAGAGGACTCATGACTCAATTTCTTTCCAAAAGCTAGATCAACTGGCAACCAAACTTCCAACATGTGAGTCTCCAGCAGGAATTTTAGCTTAAAAGTTTGGAAATGAGTTCAGTGGCTCCATATTATCTAATAAATAAACAAACACGATCCATTGCTTAGATTTAAAAAGTTAAATTTCACACTGCAAAATCAATCTCACTGTAAGATATGTGAGTCATAGCATTGGACTATATCTTCTGTACAAGAATGGTATGTGCATACTTAACAAAACTCCATTGTCTGAGAATTCTGACCTCTTAGAATTCTAAAATATGTGTTTATTTTTATTCTTTGAAGTTGTAAACATCTGAAAATAGGTAGCTTAGATAAAAGTGATTCTTCAGGTCTAACTTTAGTATTGTCATATGATTCTTGACCCCCATGAAAAGCTGCTTTTGATCATTCCACTACCTCACCTCCCTTTTATTCTCCCAGTTCTACTCTAAGGGCCAAGGAATGAAAGGCAATTTTTCAACCAAGTCCCTTGAAAAGATTGAGTCATGGTCCTAGAGAACATCTTAGAATGGATTGTGTAGAGAAATCAACCTTTCCCTAGAAGATGCATGAGGAAGTATTGAAATTCTCACTGAGAACATAATTTCTAAGTGTGAAAATAGGAATTTTCTAGCAGTTGGGGAAGAGAGATGAAGAAACACAAAATATAATGAATTCAGGTGTGAAAGTGCCCCCAGTGAAACCCATTCATTTGTATACTAAACTAAAAAACAAAAAACAGAAGGGGAAACTGTTGTTCTTCATCCCTCTTCCCCAACTCACTTCCTCCATAGGTACTTTCCCTCATTTTGCTTTCACGTCACATATATTCTACTACTCTCTCTCTTCCCACCTCCCATTCCCCTAGAAACATCTTCTTTCCCTCTCAAGTCTCAGAAAGAGGATGCTTCTTGGTCCAATTCCTCCAGCTCCCTAGCCACAGAGTTGCAGTTAGAGTCCAGACCACCTCCTTTCAGCCCAAGACTTTCACTCTTCCAGAGTTTAGGGAAATTCCACATAAAATCATTCATCTTACTATGCTGGATGTTAGGACTTGACACAATCTTAGGGTCTGAGTATCTGGAAAATGTTCTTTATGCTGGTGATACACTTTATAAGGTGAAAGATATCCTTGTAGATGTATCCAACCATCTTATTAAATAAGAAACACAGAACCAATGCAAAGAGGAAAGCCAAGACATCAGAGCTAAGAGCCTTACCCATCTGCTGCAGCTAGCCTCTTCAGCCAAGAGACCTACTTCCTGTGTTTTTGTCTTTATATAGACTTTCTGTTCTGCCTTCTCATTGGTTGTAAACCCAACCACATGACTGCCTCGTCACTGCCTGCCTGTACAGACCTCCAGGTCTTCTATGGTTGGTATTGAGATTAAAGGCGTGTGTCTCCAATGCTGGCTGTATCCTTGAACACACAGAGATCTACCTAGCTCTGCCTACCAAGTGCTGGGATTAAAGGCATGCACTACCACCACCCAGCTTTCCTATGGCTTGCTAATAGCTCTGACCCCCGGGCAACTTTATTTATTAACATACAAATAACATTTTAGTACAAATAAAATATCACTATATATACTTTGAAAAGAAACCAAATAATTAGAGAAATAATGTTAGAAGCATATGTCTGTAGGGTAGATAGTGGCAAATGTTGAGTTAACAGATAGGTAACATTGGTCAATGCTTTTTTCTTGACTTCTAAATCTTCCACAAGAATCACTCATGTGGCTTAAGATGACATAAGGGAAAGGGATATTTGGGAAATGTAATAGTTTAGCCATGTTGACCAAATGCTCTGTGGAGAATATCCTTTGATTGGAAATTGGGAGAGATGGTATATCTAGAGAAAAGATGTAAATGGGAATGGTGTGTTTGAGAGTCAGAAAGTAGCTCAGTTTGTTGGATGCTTGGGCTTAAACTGATATATGTGCAGATATTAAGTTGAAAAGGGAAGTTTATGCAACATTGGGTGACTCTTTCATGCCAGGGAGATAAGACAAATCCTATAATGAACAGAGAAATAATTGAGGGGTGCTGAGCAGGTGAACTGCATTTTGGGGAATTTATTCTATCAGCAAATACAGGGTGGACCAGACAGGGGGATGGAGGAGAGAAGATTGGTGCTACACAGAGGACTTGAGCTCATTTCTACTTCATCCCACCCTTCATGCACTGGAGACACATGAGAAGGAAGAGGAACCACTTACCTGTTCCCTTGTACTGAGCTTTCAACTCTTCTCTGCCTGATCCTGCAGCCCCTATGGTCCTCAAAACAAATTGCTCCCACCTCTTGAATATCCTTTATCCTGTCAAAGAGGTCTTTTTCAAGCACTAATGATTGTTCTGAAATTAGAGAGGTAAGGTTTTCTTATGATGGGTGCCAGCAATATCTCATGAAGTTTCTAGAAGCTGACTGCACACCTGGGTCAATTAAAGTCTGCTCAGGGAGGCACAGATGCACACATTTGCACATTATGGAGGGGATAAGATGAGAGAAGATTCCTCCTTCTGGCTTGAGACTTTGTAATAGCTCTTCAGCCTCCACCTCAGTAGGTGGCTGAGCCTGTCTTTCCTGTCTGCAGGTCCACCACACTTAGTGTGCCATCATCAAGTCCAGGCACTCGAGCCACAGCCCTGTGTGATGTGCTCCAGAGCCCCAGGTATAAACACTGGACCTCACCTAATCAAGAGGTCTCCTGTGCACCACTCCTGTTCTCAAAGCTTCAGTTTCTTCATGTGTAGAATTAAAGTCACGCTGATTCCTACATTGCCTACCTCTCACAGAGCTGCAGTAAGAGTCCCAAGAGATATCAGCTGTAAAGAGCTGTGCTCCAGGGCTGAGTCATCACTGTGGTTATTATATAAGAGGATCTTTGCTGGGATAGGCAGTGCTGTGAACCCAGTATTGCTTAATAAAGAATTCCTGGTTGTGCTGCTACCACTGATGATTTGATGTATGAGACAAATTATTGACAATTATGAGATGAAATTGGGCTACTTTCTTTGGGTAGTAGCCATCAGTGAGGGGGTCATGGAGGAGAGGCCACTCCTGCTATCAACTCCCTTCCTCCATCAACCACTCTCTCTTCTCTGAATGGCTCTCTGTTCAGCCTTTGCTTCTCTTCATTTTTCCTTCAACTGAGCTCATTTCATTCCCTGATCTCCTTCCTTATATTTGTTCCCATTCTTTCTTCTTTTCTTGCTTATGAACCTTCCTCTTTGCTTGCCTTCGTCTGACTCCATATTTTACTCTGTCTCCCTTTCTGTTTCTACTTCCCCCCTCCTCTTCATGTCTTTCTGCTGCTCTATTAAGAAGCTGTGGAAGGAAAGCCTCCCAGCCAGTGTTGCTAGGCAACCCACTATCACATGGCCATCCTTACATTTTATGCTTGCTTCTCCTTCACAGCTCTGCTACTCAGACTCTGTACTGTAGCTCAGATTGAGCTGACCCTAGTAAAGAATGAACATAATTGGCTCACTTCTAGTTAAGTAAAGGTATCATCTTTGCTCTGGGATCTCTAAGTTACTGGAAATGTGATAGGAAAACAGTTAAGGAACTAGGAATAAAAAAAAGATGTGTATTCTTATGAACAGCTTACTAGAACTGAGGGCTTAAGTTTGAATCAATGTAACTTCCAAGTACACTATAAAGTACTCACCAGAGCTGTGGAATCCCTTGAAATGGGCAAAATCAAATTATACTTACTTGGGACTTCTTTTTGTTATGAAAGTTTATAGGTATATAATCAAAATTCTTTTATTTATTTTTAAATTTCTTCTGTTTTTGAAATTAAAATATTGTAGATTGAAATTTCTTCATCCCACCCGGTCCTGCCTGGTTCACCTGGGCAGCAGCCATTTTTATAAAATAATCACTCAGTGGCTTAGCATTAAATACAAACTGTTTTGTCTATGGCTCAGGCTTATTATTAACTAGATCTTTCTTCTTAAATTAACCCATTTCTATTAATCTATGTATTGCCATGTGGCCATGTATATGGCATTACCGGTCTGCTGGCATGTTGCTCATTGGGTAACTTGATGGTGTCTCCCTGATACTGCCTTTCTTCTCCTTGTCTCTCTGCTTGGATTTCCCACCTGGCTCAATTCTGCCTTGCCATAGGCCAGAATAGCTTCTTTATTAACCAATGGTAGTAGCACATAGTCACAGCCTACAGAAAGACCATCCCACAGCAAAATAAAATTACATAATTTCCATATTCCCTTTCTTCCATCCAATCGCTATCATGTAGCCCCATCTCCCTCTCAATTTCATTTTCTTTTTTTCTTTAATTGTTGTTACACACACACACACACACACACACACACACACACACACACACACATACACACATAACACACACTCCTAAATATATAAATACAATCTGTTTAGCCCATATAATATTACTTGTATGTATATGGTTTCAGGACTGGCCATCTAGTATTGGATAATCCACAGGTAGACTCTTCAGGGTGCAACACTCTCTAGGAAGTTCCAGGAAGTATTTACAACTCATATCAAATTTTTTGCCCTGACTGCTTTCCATTGGTTCTGTAGGTCTTCCACTTTCTCTAATATGCAGACATTGCTTCACTTGGTCCATTTGGTCTCTTTCTTCCAGTTGGATTCAACCAAAAGACTGTTCTGAATAGGAGACCAATGGGGATAGAGTTTGTAGGAAAGTGAAGTCAAAAACTAGGATTTCTATGGCTTGACCTGTGCTAGCTCACCATGTATCTGTTATGCTCCACAGCACAGATCCTATCTGATTGCCCCTCTCTCTATCATCTTCTGTGTTCTGGTGACTGCTGCTTTCTCTTGCCCCTTCAGACATAAGGATAATAGTTACCATCCCCAGGGAATCTTATTGATTTTCTTAAATCCTGACCCCATCTCAGTAAATTCTTTTCCAACTAAATACTTCTTAAATTATCCATTCTGAGGAAGTTACATTTTCTGTTGAGACTCTGACTAATATGTGAGACCACAACAAATTTAAAAGTGGACCTGAAAAATTTCAGGTATCAAGTATGTGGATAGAAATAGTCATTTTCAAAACCAAGTTTTAATGAACAAAGTCTGTAACAGATGACTTCATGTTGTCCAACCAGAGTAACTTCAGGGAATGGAAGAAACATGACATAACAATTCCAATAGAATAGTCACCTCCACAACAATGGCCAATTGAGATTTAAAGTGGATTTGTAATAATGTATATTTCATCATTCTTGATTTATGGAGTTATTAAGGCATTTCTTTCCCATTTCACTATGTCCAGGCATTGAAGAGTTAAGAGGAACATAGAGTACTGAGCTGTTAAGGTCAGGCATTGTTCCTTTTGCATACTTGATCAATTGGCTTCATGGCATATAGCTGTCTGTTGCTGGATACTATAGGTATTTAAAAGATTTTTTTTTGTGTGTGTACATATATATGTGTGGGGGCATGTTGTGCATGAGTGCTTTCTACCATGTGCATGTAGAAGTCAGATGACAACTTGGGGGAGTTAGTTCTCTCATTCTACCATGTGGGCCCCAAGGATACAACTTTGGTCATCAGGCTTGGTGACAAGCTTACCCACCTAGCCATCTCACAGGCTCTGATGGAGTTCTTTTTAGTGAAGCTTGTTTCTTATTCCCTCTGACTTCACTATTTTCTCCACAGTCTTTCGCCATTTTTCTCCTTACTTTGTGGAATCTGGGACAGAAAGAGAAAACTAGGTTATAAATGCTCCCAAATCTTCTCTGTCTTACACCTGAACCTCTGGTTTATGAAACACTCAGTTGTCAAGATTTTGACACCTTTATTCTCCAGTTATCTTTTGACAACTTCTCCTAAAGCTATGGGTGACTCATGTCTAGCATCTTTGATGGGAGGTAGAAGAGGGTCTTAAGTAAAATCCAATGAAACACAGGATGTGCAGGTTAATGTCACCAAATACCTTATCTTGTCATTGCTGTAATATGTTGGCTATAGATTGTGGGGACGTGCCCCACCGGGAACTTAGGTCACCTGTGAAGAGGTAGCCTGGAACCAAGGCTACTCACCGGTTCCCCAGCCTCCCTCTTACCTGGAGACAATCAGATGCAGTGGGGAGTCAAGTCAAGCAAGAACTCATTTATTGTTAGGCAGTAAGCCTCTTTTATAGCAAAAACTTCAGAACCTTAGGAGGAGGTGAAGGAACTGACCAATCACTTTAAAGGTCATCCTATTTGCAAATTGTTTATGCACTGACATCATCTCCTGTTTTTAGTATCTTATCTTAGCATAAATAACTTGAGCTAACTCCTTCCTCACCATTTGTCTCTATTCTCCATACAAACAACCCAAGCTAACTTCCTCTTAGCCGTCCTTTGTATCTATTCTCTGCATAAACAGCTTAAACTAACTTCCTCTAGCACCATTTGTATCTACTCTCAGTGAAAAGAGCTTAAAGCATAAGCTCTATTTGTCTAACTTTCTCTTGGCACCCTCTTTGCAGCCCATGTATGCCCCACAATAGATGACTTGAACAATTAGGTTCATCTAACCCTAGAAGCTCTCCCTCTTTTACCATAACTGTGAGCTTCTTGAGACCTTGTTTGGCTATTCTAGCTGGGGAGTGCACCTCATTAACAAATTAATGATAATAACAGTATTAATGCTCCCCCTCCTTCTCCTAGGTTGTCTTTTTCCACCAAGTGTACAGCTTCTGGAGGGATGCGTATGGAGTATTGAGGGAGCTAGATTAACCTAGATCAACCATCAATCCTGATGATCAATAATTTAACAGGTATGACAGCCAGGTTGCTCATACATTGCTGAACTGAAAGTTTCTTTTAGAGTAAGATTGTAAGTAAAAAACAAACCAAATAAACAAATAAGGAGGCTAGAAAAATTTTGACTTTCGGTGGTCTAGAGGGCTCCATTTACCACTGAAGATATTTTGGAAGGCCTTTGGATCCAGCAGACATGATGAGATCTAGAGATATCACATTTTTTTAGGTTAATTGCACATTTTTATGTGTTCATTTCATTGTTTTATTTTTATATAGAATTGGTCATTCTATAGACACTGTAGTAGAGAATGCAGCTACTCATAACAGCCTCCTAGACTAAGATACTCTTCTAGGACACAATGCTGAGCTGGATCCTGAAAATCCATTGGAATTGTTGATATTATACAAGACAAAAAGCACAGTTTTGTATGCAGAATCCATTTCTTAGTGTTGCATTCTACTTATTGCTTTTTTGTAACCAACCTCAATTTTAAGATCCCTGGAGGTTTCACTTTGTTAACTATCTGTCCTATCAACAATGCCTAAATAATGGAATTTTAAAAATACTTTAAAAAACACAAATTGGCTGAGTATAGTAATTAGTACAGAAATATAATTTTTTAAGCTTTCACTATTTTTCTTGTGCAATCACCTTGGCTGGAGATGGGCTCATTTAGAGGTGGAGGTGGGTGTAGTGGCAAGGTCAATGAAGACATCAGTTTCTTGTGAATTTGGTTACATTGAAAATACATGATTGAATTATATGAGGACTCGAAGGACCAGGCACTAGGCTATAGAGATGTAGGAGTGCAAGTAATTTTATGGGGACTATCTGTGAAAAAAAGGGACAGGACTTGTTAAGGAGGATCTCCTGCTCAATGTGTATCTGATAAACTCTTAGGCACTCTAAAATTGAGCCCTGAAGCAAGGGTTTCCCATTAAAGGAATCCTGTGCTGGTCAGAAATTATCATTCTTTTCTTTTAAGGCATTGTCTTTGGGCTACCTAGGAAGTTCAGTCTCACTTTAAGAAGTGATGTGGATCCTTAAAAGAACAATAGCCAGAGGATTTTACTTCAGTGTACTCATTTCACTTAAACTGCAAACTCTTGCTTATGAAAGACACTAATGGTGGCACTTATATGCCTACCATGTCTACACAGTTTGTAGGGAGAAGTGTTATTGGTCCTTATATTCTGTCTTTGCATTTACTTTACAAGATTTGACCCTGTGGCCATTTAGTAGCATGAATTATATGCACTGAAGCCTCTCTGTATGAAAATGCTTTACTTGGAAACAGGGGTGATGTGTGCTCAATAGGATTCTTCTCAAAAGGATAGCCTTATGCAAGAGTCTTGAGAATAAAGGTGAATGTAGGATATAAAATATCTTTGGATGATGGGTATGGTGGGGTACACCTATAATTGTAGTACTTTGTATGTAGATACAGAATTACTATGAGTTCCAGGCTATACTTGGCAACAGAATGAGACTACACTACCTCTCAACTCCTTTCCTTCTCTTTCTTTGCCAAATCCTTGGGAAGAATACTCTATTTTGGGAATATGTCAGATAGAGAGATGAAGACCCCTGTCAAATTTCCTGTGGCCAGAGAAGCACTTGGGTCACAGAATAATGTCTCTTTTAGAAACCTGCCATTTGCAGAACTGCACAAAAGATACTCCACAGTCAACATAGATTCTTTCTTCCTAAACATTCAGATCCACATTAAATATAAAATTTCTATAGAGGTTTTTATCATAACTATCTTCTAGTCCATTTTGTACTGAGGTTTTGCAGCTCTAGAACTCCTCTAAGAAACATATTCAAAATAAGGTGGTTCAATACAAGGTCATCTCTTCACCTCTGAGATACTTTGGTTCTGTTACCAGACTCTATTGTACCAAGGTCCTTCCAGGGAAACTTCTCCTAGACATAGCTCTTACCTATAACTAAACTAGTATCATCAATTTACTTAGCTTATTTGTCAATTGATAAAAGTAGTGAATTATGTGAGAGCTTGAAGAGATCTGCTTTTGATTTATGACACTGTTAATGTTATGTTGGATGGACCATGAGAAGTGTGTAGAAGGCTATTACAGTAGTTTAGGTGAAAAATGGTGCTTGAATGCAGTAAATATGGGAATAAAGAAATGGGCTCAAATGATACTTATGAGGATGAACTAAGAAGAATCACTTAGCTATGGATGGATAAGAGAGGAAAAGATTCATAATTTCAAACAGTGGTGCCAATAATGTAGAATGAAATAAGAAGAATGGGTATAAGCAAAGGGAAAATGTATGTAGATGAAAAATAAATGGTCTTAGTAAATAAGAAACACAGAGTCAAATACATAGTTAAAGCCTAAGAGATCAGAGCAAGAGCCATGATTTCCTTTAGCTTACCACTCACTGCCATCGCTTCCCCTGAGAGAGAGACCTTCTTCCTGTGTCCTGTCTTTTTATTGCCTTTCTGTTCTGCCTTCTCATTGGCTCTAAACCCAACCACATGACTTCCTCGTCCGTGCCTGTCTATACAGACCTCCAGGTCTCTATGGTTGGTACTGGGATTAAAGGCGTGTGTCATCATGCTTGGCTGTGTCCTTAAACACACAGAGACTCTGCCTGGCATATGATCAGATTATGGGTGTGTGCTACCACTGCCAGACTTCTCCTTAATGGCTATGACCTCTGATCTCCAGGCAACTTTATTTATTAACATACAAATAAAATCACATTTCAGCACAAATAAAATATCACCATATTTCCCCCTTCTATTCTAATTAAAAGAAAAAAGGAAAAAAAGTTATAACTAATATAAGAAAAACTATATGCAATAAGTACAATAACTATATACAATATATACAAGCAATAAATACCTAAACAATGTCTAGTCCATTTGCATTTGACAAACTCAGAGAAAATATTCCATTATCTGTCCTATTTTGGTAAGTCCAAAATGTACTTGATTTACATTCTATCCTAACTTATATTACTAACAGAGAACTATCTTATAATGTCTTTCAAATTTATACACTTACACCTCTTTAGTGAGTTTCTTTCCTGAAATTTTTAACAAGGAAAACTATAACTATTAAATCTTTAACTATAACTATAATTATCAAATCTTCAACTAAGTATAACTGTAGTTATTTATCTTCAACTCCCTCAGAGACCCAAGAAGGAAATAATATTACCCAGTAAAACAGGAAGTGCAAACCAGCAACTTCAAAAAATCTGAGTAGACAGAAACAGCCAGCTGCCTGGACAGTTACCTGAGGTTTCTCCGCAGGATTGGGGAATCATCTTCAACCTATAGGCTTAGCATATCTGACAGACTCATTTGTGAAATAGGATGTACACAAGGCCTACAGTTTGATCTCACATTCAGTGAGAGTAGTCCATGTACCAGATAAACTTGTATTCCACCAGTGTCCTGTCATGATTCAGGATTTTAAATTCTGGAAATTGTTGATGTTTTTGGAATTTAGCTTGTCAATTTTTCTTGGCTTGTGGGTGGCTTCATCTTTTATTAAATGCCACTCTACCATTGAGAGGTTAGACTCTGTCAGCTTGGTTATTCTTTCAAGAATAACTGTTTCAGCTGCTGTTCCACTGCACATCAGAAGCCATCGGTCCACTGCCTGTTCAGCTGCCTTAGAAGAAAAGGGCACTGTACCTTTTCCGAATTGCGAAGGCCACTTCAGGGATGGTGCCATATTGTCCTGGCCTCAGAGTATGCCTGTTGCTAAAACGACAACCTCACTTGTCTTGGCAAGAATCAGTAGTCCTTTGTTTCGTGTCCTGTCTGTCCACTTTGTTCTGTTTGTCAGCAGTCAATTCGAGGATACTTTGTTGTCCAGTGGCTAACTTTTGCCACAATGAAAGTTAACTCCATATGCAGTTTCCTCAATGCCCATATTTTCTTGGAAGTAGACTGGTACTGCCAGGAGCTGACATGTCTCATAGTCATAAAAAAAGAAAAAAATTTCTAAGTTATTAAAACATTTTAAATGCCACATTCTGCAGATCTCTGAAGAGTTTGAAGATGACCTGTCTATCTAAAATATATCTGCTCTACCTTGAAAACATACCTAATATGACTCCCAGTTGGTTTGTAATGTCTAACTAACTAATGTCTACTAACTTTCAGTTCTTTATATCCTAATATAAAGTTGGTAATAATATCAATAATTTAAGGATTAGCAAATTGCATTACATTGTTAAATGAACTGTATAAGTGCAATATTCTGAACAAGATTAGACAAAATACATACAGCATTTTCTAACAATCTCAATACATATAATTTGTATACAATATACAAAAATCCAACCCATTGTAAAGTATTTAAAACTAGTAATTGTCTTTTAAAAGTAGATTCAATAATCTATCTTTATATCTATATTGTATCTATATCTTTTCTTTACTTTTCAGAGCAGATTCAATAATCTTCCCTCTATTCTATTCTATATATATATTTTAAACAAGAAATTTAAATCTGATCTCCTTTGCTTAGCCCTTTTCCTAACCCTTAACAACAACTTGTAACCAATGCTCCTAAACAATGAAAATTATCCCAGACCCCAAACCCATTGAAAGACCATAAAACCACCCACCCCACACCACCTCTTTGGGAATGTGGGCATCGTATTCTTAAAATGACTTCCTGCTGGTTATGGGCAAAGGCATCTTTACTCTGAAAAAAAAAATTGGGTTAATTGACAAATTCTAGGAAAGGTAGCTATATCCTTTGTTGTCCCGTCTGTGCATAATTCCAAAGTACAGGGCTTATCTCAAATCCTTATTCAAGTAGTCTGTGAAACTGGATCATCTTAGCTAGCCATGTCAAAATTGCTCTGAGCAGTTTGTAGTCCAAAGCTGATCTATAGATGAGTTTTGTCACCTTAGTGGTATTATTATTGTCCATGTGGAATCGTTGTTGTTGTAGGGCCCCATCTTCTTCCTGGGGACTTCAAATTTGATGTTAGGCCTGGTCATGATTTCTTGTGGAAAACTGATAGAGACTCAAACACAAAGACATGTATAGGCAGCTAATTGAAGCCTTTTGTTCTAGAATTAGTTAGTACTCCATATGACCATTAATATTTTAACAAAATTATATATATATTATATATATTATATATATATATATATATGAATCTTGTAAATTCTGAAGGAAAATTCATACTTTAAGAAAAGTTTAAAGAATCAGAATAGAATCAAATAATTGAGATTAGTAGTAATAGAATAGTCCCTTAATTAATTTGGTTTTTCTCCTGTCCTATGTCAGAAGATGTCTCTTTCTTCTGGCATGATACAGGGAATGTGCATTTTTCTTTTAACAACATGCTTGGGTTTAAAGAAGGAGAGAGTCATTCTCCAACTCCAAAGCCAACTTTAATTTTTAATTAAACTGGGACTACAAGAAGACCATTTGTGTTAAAAGCTTTTAGAGAAGAGCAGAAGCAAACATTTAGGAAGATTTATGAAATTTAATAGGTAATATACCAATACGCCAATTTACTCTTTCTCTTGGGACTTTTTTTTTACATGATTTGCCCTTTTTCTTCAGATTTCTCTTTTGTCCAGTGTTCTTCAGATTCCTTAGCCTTCATTCTTCTGAAAGACAAAACAAAAACATTTCCCCAAGACTAACTTTGGGGAGGTTCCCTTTTGTCAAGTTATATCTGATTAAATGAAAAGGCATGTGTTAATGGTATAAGTTAGGTTAAATTGGATGGTCATGCTGGTTGATGAACTATCACTTCCTCTAATTAAGAGGTCTCTCTTGTTCAAATCCAACCTTTATCAGTTTTGATGGTATCCACAGCTTATCTTCTCCTGTAGAAACAAAAGCAAAACCTCGTCCCCAACGGGACACATAGCCTAGTTTCCATTCTGAGGTCAACACATCCTTAAAGTATATAGGCTGATTTAATCCTGTAGTTTTTTTCCTATTATCCAATATCTCTCTGGAGCTGTTGTTCCTTTCTCATTAGCATTGAGAAAATTCAAAGTTAATAAAGCATTATGCAGTCTATTTCTGGGGGTTTTGTTATGCCTTTCTATTTATTTAGCATATCCTTTAGAGTTCTGTTTGATCTTTCTATAACTGCTTGGCCTGTAAGATTGTGTGGTATACTTGTAATATGCTTTATATTGTATTGAGCAAAAAACTATTTCATTTTACCAGAGACATATGCTGGAGCATCGTCAGTTTTAATTTGTGCAGGTATACACATGATGGCCATAACTTCTAGCAAATGATTGATTACATTCATTTGTAATTACAGAATCAGCTTTTTCAGAACTCAAAGCAGTTTCCCATTGAAATCCTGAATAAATATCAATGGTATGGTGTACATATTTCAATTTTCTGCTGCCAGGCAGTTTGTCATGTGGGCACCAAATGTAGATGTAATTCTGAATGGTCTTATTAAATAAGAAACACAGAGTTAAAAGCCCAGAGATCCAGCAGCAGCCAAGAGCTAAGACCACTTTCTTGCCCCTCACTCTCGCTGTTGTCGTTCCCTTGAGTAAGTGACCTACTTCCTGTGTGTCTGTATTTTTATTGACTTTCTGTTGTGCCTTCTCATTGGTTGTAAATCCAACCACATGACCTCCTCGTCCCTGCCCGTCTATACAGAACTCCAGGTCTCTATGGTTGTTATTGAGATTAAAGGCATGTGTCTCCAAGCTGGCTATGTCCTTGAACACACAGACTCTGCCTGCCATGTGGTCAGATTGAGGGCATGTGTTACCACTGCCAGACTCCTGCTAAATGGCTTGCTATTAGCTCTGACCCCCAGGCAACTTTATTTATTAACATACAAATAAAATCACATTTCAGCACAAATAAAATATCATCATATTTTAACTTTAACATAGTAAGATTATATATAACAAAACAGTTATCAAACAAGAATTACAGTTTTAATATCTAGTCTATTTGTATTTGGCAAAATTAAAGAAAATATTCTATCATCTATCCTATTTTATGAGTCTAAAGTTTCATATCTAATTTATCTTTTATCATGACTAAGGGAAACTATAATTATATCTATCTAGTCTTCAACTCCAGAAGGATATAATATTACCTGAGTAAACAGGAAGTGCATTGCAAACAATGCCTGGACAGTCATCCAAAGTTCCTCTGTAATGTTGGTGCATCTACCTTAAGCCTACAGGCCTAGAGTCTCTGGCATAGTTTTGAGTGAAGCTGAAATTTTTAAGGGCTGTTCCACCCATTCTGGCAAAGTTTGTCAGTCATTTCTCCCCATGTCCTATAGAACGTCTGGCAGTTTCTTCTATGAAGAAGGAACCTAAAGGACCATCTCACCTTGCAAAGTTCAGTAGTCACCTTCCTATGGGTCCTGCATGTCCAGTTTATATAACATACTGTCGAGCAGTCCAGGTAAGAGCAGTTTCTTGCCCAAATGTCTAACTTTTGCCATGAAGAAAGCAAACTCCATATGAAGTTTCTTTGATGCCCATCATCTTCTCTGAGTAGATTGGTGCTGCCAGGTGCAGACACATCTCAATGTCCAGAAAAGTCTAAGTTCTTAAAATATTTTAAATGCCATATTCTGTAGGTCTTTGAAGTGTTTGAAGATTACCTACCTATTTGAAATATATCTATGTGTACCTAGAAAACTTAACTAACATGACTACAAGTTTGATTATCATAGATGACTAATTATTAATCTGTATTTCTTAATTTTACATTTCAATTTTAAATGAGTTGCATAAACATAATATCTTAAGAGTAGAAATACACATACAGTATAACGAAATTGACCTTCAATTTATATTAATAAACCAAAATCCATACCAATGTAAAGTATTTTGAGATATACATTTGTTATTTGGCTTAAAGTAGATTCAGTAATCTAACTATTTTAATCATTTCTATATCCTATGTTCCTTTTTTCTTTTAGAAAGAGATTGACTAAAACCAATAACAATTTATAACAAATCTCCTAAAAAAAGACAAACATCCATAATCCATTTTTTGGGGGGAACGTGGGCATAGTCCTCTAGGCTACTTCTTGCTGATTGGGAGTGCTGTTATTCTTATGGGGATCCTGAGAAAATTCAAGATAATGGTCAAGTTTTGGGAAGACTGGCTATAACCTTTGTTGATAGGTACCATCTGTTATGGTCCAGGAGGTCTCGCTTGAAAAATCTGACCCATTTTAACCTGGAACAAATCCACAGCTTCTTGCTTCCTGTGGAAACAAAAGCAGGGCCTCCTTTCCAAAGCAACATACATATCCTTAGACCCAAATTTTGAAGTAAAGATATATATATATATATATGTTTAACTCAGCAGCTTTTACAATCAAATGTCTCTCTTGAGTTAAAAATCCCAAAGACAACACAATCCAGACTCTCTGTGTAATTTCCATTTTTATATGGTTTATTATATATTTTATATATTTTTAAGACTTTATTTTATCCAGCTGGGATCTCCTGCTCCCCTAAGCTCTCTTTCCCTTGACCTTGCCCTTCATTACCCTCTCTCATGTCCAGTTTGCTCATGTAGATCTCATCCATTTCTCTGTCATTGGGTGATCCCTGTGTCTTTCTTAGGGTCCTCTTTACTAGGTAGCCTCACTGGAGATGTGAGCAGCAGTCTAGTCATCCTTTGTTTTATATATAGTATCCACCTATGAGTGAGTACATACCATGTTTGTCTTTCTGAGTCTGGGTTACCTCACTCAGGATGATTTCTTTCTAGATCCATCCATTTGCCTGCAAACCTCATGATGTAATTGTTTTTCACTGCTGAGTGAAATTGTGTATATGTACCACATTTTATTTATCCATTCTTCAGTTCAAGGGCATCTAGGTTGTTTCCAGGTTCTGGAGAACAGAGAGGGAGAACAAGGAAAGAGAGACCATGATAAATGAAGACCCCATGGGAATTTGAAGAAGCAAAGTGCTAGAGAGGTCCCCAGAAATCCACAAAGATACCTCCACAATAGACTACTGGCAATGGACTAGAGAAAGCCTGAACTGACCTACTCTGGTGATCGGATGGCCAAAAACCCTAACTGTCATGGTAGAATTCTCATCCAATGACTGATGGAAGCGGATACAGAGATCCAAGGCCAGGCCCCAGGTGGAGCTCTGAGAGTCCAATTAGCGAGAAAGAGGAGGGATTGTATGAGTGAGAGTTGTTGAGACCATGATTAGAAAAAGCACAGGGACAAATAGCCAAACTAATGGAAACACATGAACTATGAACCAATAGCTGAGGAGCCCCCAACTGGATCAGGCCCTCTGGATAAGTGAGACAGTTGATTAGCTTGAACTGTTTGGGAGGCCCCCAGGCAATGGGACTGGGACCTGTCCTTAGTACATGAGCTGGCTTTTTGGAGCCTGGGGCCTATGCAGGGACACTTTGCTGAGCCTGGGTAAAGGGAGGAGGGGACTGAACCTGCCTCCATTGAATCTACCAGGCTGAGCTGAATACCCAGGGGAGTCCTTGTCCTGGAGGAGATGGGAATGGGGGGTGGATTGGGGGGAGGGCAGGGCCGGGGGAGGAGGGAGAATAGGGGAATCTGTGGCTGATATGTAAAATTAAATTAAATTATAAAATAAAAAGACTTTATTTTATTTTTATGACTATCTATATCCTTTCTTTCCTCTCTCTCAAGCCTACATATCTTTTACAAATATTGTAAACCATTTAGAGTTTTATTCCATTTGAATCTGTCATATTGTGAATCTATAATCATTTTCTGGCCAGGAGAGATTTAAACTGTTAAGCTGCATTGCTAGGATGAAAAGCAGCAGCCCTGGCTGCTGACTCCACTCCCCTCAGCTTCCCAACATGGTGGAGGTACATTACTGCCAACTCTGGGAATCAGTGGGTCTATGCCTCCATTAAGCAGTGTGTAGCCTAGAAACTATTTTTTGTCTGTACTAGCAAAAGATAAATCCACCATGCAGCGTGCTGCATGGTTTGGAGATGCCAATATTTGCTGCACTGGGAATCTGCCATGTTGCTTAGCTCATGGTGGCTGGTGGCCAGATCCATCTCACAGGCAGCTGT